AGGACTTTTTGGGGCAAGACTGGGATGCAGTTTACAAAGAGGAAGACTTAGACAAAGCATATGAGCAATTTTTAAATATATTCATGGAAGTATATGACAGGAACTGTCCTCGTAAGCAGTATAAAAACAAGAGGAATTACAGTGGGAAACTGTGGATGAGTAAGGGATTACAGAATGCATGTAAAAAGAAGAATGCGTTATATAAAGAATTTATAAAGGACAGATCCAAGAAGGCGGAAGAAAAATTTAAGTTACTGGAATACAAAATGCGTAGTGCTTTGAGGATATGTAAGAAACAATATTACTCTAAAGTATTAGAGGATAATAAAAATAACATGAAAGGTACTTGGAATATATTAAATAAATTGATTAGAAACAGTACCAGCAGGAGTACAGCTTCTACATGAATATTAGTCACCGACTATAATTATTTTATCTGTACTAAGCACTAAATCAGACAAAGTCTGAGAATTCAGTTAAAAACTATGAATAAGGGGCAGGTGGACGGTATACAATAACATGCATTACTGTTTAAAGTAAGGTGCTGAGCTGTATCTACTGAGCTCTCCAGGATCAGTCCAGGAGCTCACTGAAATGACCTGCTGATGTAGTAGTAAATCAGACACTGAATACATGCAAACTAGCCACAAACTCGATGAAAAATGCAGCACAGATGTACATAGTAAATCTGCATCCTTGTTTTTGGTCTTTTATATGCTTCTAATGTTTCTGATATACTGACCCTGTTTTAATATCTGCTTTTCTCAGGTATGGGATGCAATGAATGTACCCATCCATCCTGTCAGCATGCTCTCAACTCTTTAGGGATTGGACAGTGTGTGGAGTGCGATAGTGGGGTTTTGGTGCTGGATCCCACATCTGGACCAAAATGGAGAATGGCCTGCAATAAATGCAATGTGTTGGTGCACTTCTTTGAACATGCGCACAAAGTGCAGGTATGAAAGTGGTCCTTTTAAACAGGCTTTAACTTCCACAACAGTAAAAGGCATAGTGATTTCAATGTCCAGAAATCTTTAGCTTTTTATTCCACCCAAACAATATACAACAAAATGGAGTAGACCCCTGTGCAGTATCACTAAAATGTCAAATGATTCAAAATTGTACCATCTTACAATATTTTTATTATTTTTAAGTCGAAGTTCAGGGTATTTGATGCTATATATAATTAAAAGTAAACAGGTTAGACCAAAAGTCACATTAACCAAAAACTTTGTCACTGACATAATTTTTTAAATATCCACCCATCCATCCATTTTCTTCCGCTTATCTGAGATCAGGTTGCGGTGGCAACAGGTTCAGCAAGGTAGACCAGACGTCCTTCTCCCCAGCAACATTTTCCAGCTCCTCTAGTGGGATTCTGAGGTGTTCCCAGCCCAGATGAGATATATATTCTCTCCAGCATATTCTGGGTCTACTCTGGGGTCTCCTACCAGTTAGACATGCCCTGAAAACCTCCAAAGGGAGGCGCCCTGGAGGCATCCTGATAAGATGCATAAACCACCTCACCTGGCTCCTTTCAATGTGAAGAAGCAGCAATTCTACTCTGAGTCCCTTCTAGATGTCCGAAATCCTCACCCTGTCTTGTAAGACCAAGTCTGGCCACATTATTACTGATGCTGTCCCTATCTGCCTGTCAGTCTTGCGCTTGATTTTACCCTCACTCATGAACAAGACCCCGAGATACTTAAATTCTTTAAGGGATACAGTACTTAAACTCACTCCCAACCAAAAGGGAGCAATTCCTCATTTTCCAGCAGGGTGCCATGGCCTTAGACTTGGAAATGCTAACTCTCATCCCTGCCACTTCGCACTTGGTTGCAAACCACCCCAGTGCATGCTGGAGGCCATCGTCTGATGAAGCCAGCAAAACAGCATCATTGGCAATAAGCAGACATGCAGTTCTGAGGTTCCCAAATCGGACCTCCCCCCAGTTGTGCCTCCAGATCATGTCCATGAAAATCACAGACAGGATCAGTGACCATGGACGACCTTGATGGAGACCAACACCAAATGAGAACATGTTTGACCTATTGCCAAGTATGCAGACACAATATTCTCACTCTGGTTATACAAGGAGCAGATGGCTCATAGCAGCAGCCCTGGTACTCCATACTCCTGAAGTACCCCCCACAAGATGCCATAAGGGGCCCAGTCATAGTCCTCCAAGTCCACATGTAGACTGGATAGGCAAACTCCCAAGATCCCTCCAGTAACCTTGCAAGAGTAAAGAATTGCTCCACTGCTCCACGGCCAGGACAGAATCCACATTGTTCCTCCTGGATCCAAGGTTTGACAGTCAGTTGAAGCCTCCTTTCCAGCACCCTGGCATAGGCTTTCCCAGGGAGGTTTTTCACCATTTCCCTGTTGGCATTTTGTCAGATTCACAGTTCTGCTGTTGTTTGCTAAGCAGCCCTCTTCTGTGACAGTCCTAATTGATCATTTGGAATTACCAGTTTATGAACACATTTTTGTTTGTTCAATCATTTCTACACAGGACAGCCATATTTCCTTATTTGACCTTCTTCCAGAAGTGTCCTAAGTCCTCATCATTTCAACACAATTTGAAACACCCTTTACACCCCTATCTAAAGCTACTTTTAAAACTCACAATTCTGGAGTAATTTGTACTTGACTCATTAGAACTCCATATTTCTAT